GTGACCCCTTCGCTGTCCCCATAACAATAACAAGCCATAATCACATGTGACATCACTATACGTCGTCGAGTCTACAGGGAGGGTTCCCCTGAGGAATGATGTCATTGTATGGGCATGCCATTTTTTTCTTATTTGTATCAGGCAACGAAGGCCCATATTAAAATACAATAATACTATAATATCTACTACAATTTTAAATTAAAATACTATAAATACATTACACATGTAAGTAACTAGCTACTTCCGCGCGTTTCACACGCTCTGCTCAGCTCCTATTGGTCGTAGCGTGATGTTTTATAGCCTATAGTCATCCTCTACAAATTCACTATCCAACACAAAAATAATTATTCAAATCAGACTTGAAGTTCCGGAGATTAGCGCGTTCAAACAAACAAACAAAAAAACAAACTCTTCCACTTTATATGTTAGTATAAGACATAAGAGTATAAGATAAATTTAAAGTACCGTCATTATAGACACAATTAGAGAACAATAGGTGGCGGTCACCGGTATCCTCGCGGTGTTTGACAATTAAAACACTAATTATGACTATTGTGCTGTGTCGACGTCATGTGCTGCACGGTGTCAGGTATCCGGCCCCGGAATCTCCGGAAAACAACACCTTTCGGTCAAAACTCGTGTCATGATTTTCGGTAAATCCACGTAAGGCACTCTCACCTATGTAATTATTAAACAAATATAACTAGTCTACTTAGGTACCTACCAAAAAACATCATTGAAGTTTGCATTCAATTTTTTTCAAAAGCGTTTCCAGTAGTACGTAGCCCATAATACCAGTAACAGTCTAACAATAGTCATAACTACATAACTGCCGTACTGTAAAATAGTTTAAATAGTACACTCGTTCCCTTTGCTACTACAAAGGATGAAACAATGAATTAACATTAAAAAAACCATCAATGTACACCATCCTTTGTAAAACACTCGTCGAATGTCAACCGCAGATCAAGCTACTCTTTACTTTCACATTTCTTCAAGACATTTTCAACCCTATGTTTAAGTACATAAGGTTAAAAATCTATAAATATAAGAGATAGTTTGACCTGCTGTTGTTTGCATAGGTAGTGGAGAAATTTGCACATTTCCCGCGGAACAGATGGTCAGGTTTCTGAGTGATGCATAATAAATAGGTAGCTAACAAAAGAAATTATTGATCGGAATAGGTACCTAAAGGTGTATAAAGTTTCAAAATATACAAACGAACAACACTTAAATAATATTGTCATTCAAAATTAAAAAATAAACAAACGACAAAACCGTCTATGTAATGCGTCTAACTAATTATTTCTTTTTCTCAATCAAACATGGAACAGCTACAATAACATTCTTATTTTAAAATTTTAAAGTGCATGTCAACGACCGGGCGCGCCGTCAGTGACGTCACTGCAGTATGACGGACCCGGGTAGAGGCGGGAACACACCCGCAAAACTGCGGATGTCTAGGCAAGCCTGTGAAACGCTATAATAATATGGAGTTTCTAATACCTAGCAAACGTTAAGTACATATAAACAAATAGGTATTAGCTTACTTTCATAAGTTCCTCTACATTTTTTAGGAGGAATTAAGACGGCAAGGGCGTATCTACAAGAATCTCCTGAATTCGGATGGACCGAGGCACCTGTAACAACATAAGAGGTGTTACAAGTGCTTTGCCAGTCTTACCTTGGGGAGGTAGGCTCAGGCCCCCAGTAACCTCACGGCGAGATACAACATTAGCGTTGTTTCACGCCGGTTTTCTGTGACGTCGTATTCGATATCTCTCCGGTTGAGCCGAGGAGAGCCATGCTTCGGCACGAATGGATCGACTCGACCGGAGTGATACCACGGCCTTACAGAAATCGACGTGAAACGCTAGCGTTGTGTTTCGACGTGTGAGTTAGGAATCCGGAGACCCAATTACCTCTCTCCCACTTCCCTAATCCCCAAAAGGCCGGTAACGCACTTGTAACGCCTCTGGTGTTCCGGGTGTCCATGGGCGACGCCGATTGCTTACCATCAGGTGATTCGTCTGCTCGGTTTTACCCAGAAAATAACTGCACTAGGTAGATACTTGTCTAATGAATTTAAAATTAGGTAATTGTATGACAAGGGTACGGACGCGAGTCCGTGAAGAACTAAAAAATTATATTACAAAAACTGAGTTTCACAATCCCAATCCAGTCTAACAGTCCCATGCCATGCTCAATCCCATAGTAGGTATCTACTTCTAGTTATGTATTACTATCAATCAATACAAGTCCTACTACAGATCAGGTCATAACTCAAAAACTAAGCATAACGAGTATTAAATTACGTTAATATGTACTTGCCTATTATCAAAATAATAATGAGTTACCGACATTTATACTTACATTCCGACTTAGAAGTGTTTGTAAAGTAGAACTATTGTGTTCCTACTGGTGAGGTATGTACCTACTGCAGTAGGTACAGTATGTATGGAACATTAATTAAGTACCCATCTTATATTGGTGTGGTAAGCCAAATAGCCGTCGCCAGTACAATTTACTTAGGTATTATAAAAATAATCAAGGACAATGAAATGAGGAACTTCGTACCAACTTATTACAATTGTTTTAACTAGTTATTGTATAGTGTTGGTTTGCTATAGGTATATACATATATACCTACTCAACAGGAAGGAAATGCCCACAGCTATAAAAATATAAAACTAATAAGTAGTGCAAAAAATATTATTAACTCCCGCTATCGTCTATTTAATAACAATAAAAATAATTTTGTTTTTATTTCTAGGAATTACTACTTGATATTGACCTATTACCTACCTATTAATAATAACATTGCTACGCAGTTTTTTGTTTTGCCATATCCACCGGCCGGCGCCATGACGTGCCAATATCTCCTCTCATACCAACATAACAAAACCGAAACACCCATCTGTGACTCATAAAGAATATAAATCAATATTTATGATAACAAACACAAAAATTCTGTTGCTAATCGAAGTATCATTGGTAAATCAGTTATACTAATTAACTAATATTTTAATAAATATGAATTTCATAGAAAATATATAATTCGTCCCGAAATTAGGACGCCCGTTATTTCTGTTAGGTTGGCTACATTGACAGCGGTATGGCGTCATCCGACCAATAGGAAACCAGCAAGAATTATTGGGCTGTCCGCGTATCGAGACACGATGTCGATAAAAGTATTTGTTTATTCAGAAAAAACATGAAGTCACTAAGTTAAGTTTATGACGACTAGTTTATAAATGGTACAAACAGTCAAGGAGGTCAACCTACTCCAATCTGTCAATTTTTCTTTGGATTTTCGACTTAATACCTATTATTATAATAAAGTCATAAATCATAATGTATTAACTCGTCGAGTACCGGTTTTATAGACACAATTAAAGAACAATAGGTCGCGGTCACCGGTGACCGCTTGGTGTTTGACAGTTTAAGTATATAGTATAGTAAAAAGAAATTTGGTTAGTTAAGTTTAGTTAGTAAAGTTTAGTAAGTCACGAGTGGCAATACTTTCTTTTTTTTATAGTAGGTGTGTTTAAAAACATTCAAGTTCAAATACACATGACATCAACACCCGGAACAACAATTTGTGGATCACACACAGTACGAGAATCGAACCCGCGACACACTACGCGGCAGCCGATTGCCCAGCCATCGCACCAACCGTGCCGTCAACTACTACGTCTGATGTATTGAATGTCATTCTTTTGTTTTCAATTTAGAATGTAAACACTTTATGAGACCTTGATAGGTCAAATCCAATCCTCAAAACTAGTCCCAAAAGGCTGGCAACGCACTTGTGATTCCCCTGGTGTTTCGAGTGTCCATGGGTGGCGATCAGTCTGGTCGTTTGCCCCTCTATCCCATCAAAAAATGTTTAGGTATAGGTTTATTTTTTGACAAATCTTTGGCAAATGTAAAGGAGAAAAATTAATATACTGTAATAGAAAAGTTATGTAACTGAAAATACGTTAAATATAAACTACATTTAATCCGACTTAAACCCCCTCTTTTTTGAAGTCGGGTAAAAAGGTTCACTACTGAAGCAGATTACCACTAACTAATGAAAATGTAGTACAATGTTGACAGCATATTTATTTATTTTAAAATTATATATTTATATATATATATATATATGTTGTATGTATGGATATTTATATGGATATGTTTGTATGTATAAGGTCTTATGTAAGTATTATATTTTATTTTAAATATACTATTTATTTAGAGAATATATATTTTGTACATATAATTTATAAGTACCTGAGTACACCAAGAACAACCTCCACTTTCATCGAACAATGCTCCATTCACCCAAAGGTTGCCTGGTAGAGATCGCTATTAGTGATAAGGCCGCCTTTGTACCCTACTATTTTTTATTATAACTCTAATGTATATTCCATTTATTTAAGGTGTACAATAAAGGTTATTATTATTATTATTAAATAATGTGTATTGTTTGTAAATAATAAAGAATATTAATAGAACGTAATTGGATCAAAATTTAAAATTCAAAATATTACGTTTCAAATATGTTTATAATTAATAAAGAACTTTTCAATATTTATATGCATAAAACAATTGAAATTAGGTCTAATATACTATTAAATTATTCAAATCGGTTAAAAAGGGACTAACGGACCCATTAAATTATGTTCTGCTTTTTAGTTTAGTTAATGAATATGATGATTTTCCAGAATTAGAAAGAAAACAAATAAATGTTAAATAATGTTTTTATTATTAAATTCAAAACATTACTTATTACTACTACTACTACTCGTATTTTTAAAAAGTATGTCGCAATGCGACAATTTTTATCGACAACACCGCCCCACTCGTTTTGCACAACACTACTGCATCCGTAGCTTAGGTCGATCGGACGAAACGGAACGAAATTATTCTTCAAGCGACCACGAGAGTACGTGGTGCGTGCGGAGCAGAAAAACAAATTTTATAGTACTAAGTAAAATAAGTTCACATAAAACAAAATGAGGGAAATCGTGCATATCCAGGCCGGACAATGCGGTAACCAGATTGGAGCCAAGGTAAGCAGTTCTTTTGTTTTGTTAATAAAATGTCTAATTTCGAACGTGGGCACGGCGGCCGGCATTTTGTGACGCCGGCCTCACGCCACGACTAGAAATATGAAACAATTGACGACAGTTTCCTTTATTAATTCACGTGAAATTAGTTTAGATTGTATTCAATTAACTGCGGACGAGTTTGAGACGATTTCGAGTCAGTGGGTGTGGTCACGGATGAAAGACATTTCGACCTTTTTGCACAATGCGCAACGTATCGTGTCAGTTTTCTCATGATTCTCATTTACAGTGTCACGTCATCATTTTAACGTGTAAATATTACGTAAAGGAGAGTTTTTAGTGAAAGCCGCACCCAGTGTCTTCAGCCATCGATCGATACGTAGGCAGGAGCTTCAGCAGTCGGTTGCAAAGTTCCACGTGTTAGTCGCCGGTTGGCGAATGACGATCAAGAAGTCAGTCGGATCACTGACTCATGAAGATTTCTTATAATTTTCGTGTTACGCATCTGTGAGCTTATATCGGCTACAAATACCGTCTGATTCGAATAATCTTATAGTAATCCACCTTCTATGAAACAAAGAATCCAATTATATTGTACTTAATTCTAATTTGTAGGTACGTCTACCATACATACTAGTGTTCATATAATATACAACTATAGGTACCTACTTGTTCAATAAGTCCCGTAGGTATTAAACGTATGAACTCGTACTAAATTCCCGCCGAAAAAAAACCGTTATAAATAATAAAGGGCGCGCATGTTTGGGCCCCGACTTTCAAGGCTGCGGCTCGCGTCGTCCCATGATAAGGGCCGGCCAATCAGAGGCCGCCGTTTATAACGTTCGAAATTCGAGTCCTTTTCCGTTGGAATCGCTGGATCCGCGGTTTGCCAAATGTTGAAACATCTGCCGCGAACTTTTTTAGTTAAAAAAACAGGTTTAATTAGTTATTGTGATTCGATTGTCTTATAATTAATAAGCGTTATTTACAAACAATTAAAAAAAACAAATATCTGCATTAAATAAAAGTTAAAACGACGATAACATAAAAAAAGTAATTTTACTTCATCATCACGAAAAGAATATTGTCCGAACAAAACCAATAAAAAATCTCGCGCGTAATAATTGCAGATTTTAATTTCATGCGCGTATAGCAAAAAGTTAATTATGAATTTAAATAGGTGTGTATGGATAGTGTGGTAGGATTCCGGAGTTCGATGACCGGCGCTCTTCCGTGGTGGCCAAAATAGCACGGCTTTAGCATGTTTTGTAGAAGCAAGTTTACGACAGTAAAGCTATCCTGTGACGTTTTCTATACAATCATGGTTTTATGTTTAGTCCAGCCTTTGATGTCATAAATATAGGTTCCACAGATACCATAAAGTAATATTCGGTTTGTGTCAGACATCTGGTAGGATGCGACCTTCTTATTGGTTCCAGACCTTTTTAGAATCCATTATTGTGCCTCTTTACAATAGATACGCAATTGAATTTCGAACAATACATTTTTTTCTTAGAACCCCCAACGTTATACAGAAAAAATCTTTTTGGGACATTGTTACAACATGAATCGATCATGTCTCTTCGCAATGTAAAATTAGGTTTATTCAGTAATACCACGTGACGTCAAAGCCAGGAAAGGGATTAAACCGACCTAATTCCAAGATAATGTCAAGATGGCGTAATTATCTTTAATCTATAACATACTGCCTAGTTAACTAACCATAGATAGCCATAATAGCATTTAATTTAACAGGATTAATTGGACAAATACGTGACTGAGCCAATTAAATTAACAAAGTTAACAAATGATTACCTATCCGATTTATAAACGTAATTTACTTAAACAAGTTAAAGACTTTACGGCATTTAAAATATCTTCTCGTTTGAAAGACAATTGGATTAATACCAATTAATTAAAATCTTGGATCTCTTGGTATCTCAGGCATTTTAACTACGACAGTCTTTACAATGATTAATTTTCTTAGTTTTCTCCAATCAAGTGCATTATCAGTCACAGCTATGACGCATTTTGCTGATATGAATGAAATATCAAATGATTAAACACTTAGAAAGTTACTATTCAGTTGAAAATCAATATGAGATTTTATTCACGTTGATAATGAATGAATAGTATTTTAAATTTACCTGTGATCACTAGGCACTTATACAAGTATCTTAAACATTGAAATGTCGGAAGTGATTTTTCCAGCATCTGGCAAAATGCCAGCATTCTTCAAATAAAAGCCGTGCAGCGGAAAACTGTTATTTCTTTCACTTTTAAAGAATGTGAAGTGTTTTTGAAAGCTAAAACGACATCTTGAACGTCTTTTGAAATATGTGTATGGAATCTCACTAGAGAAGCCTAGGTAAAATTAAATAATATCTTTTATATTTGATTAGGTCCATATTCGAATTTAACCTACTTAATATCCAAGCACCCAAGTAAACTACATGCATTCACTGTCGCCAGATTTACCTAAATGCTAATAAGACGTACTTTTCAAAACTTTCATAGCTATTTGCATGTCATTGATGGTAATTGTCGGCGTCACGCGACTGTCTCCGTGCCAGTCTGTGATTCTACCAGCTAAGCCAATCCCATGCGTCTTCCGCGTTGACCTGCTTTTTGTAGCGTGATCCACGTATCGAATCGACTGATTTTCCGCCGATAAAATGTAATAAAACTGTAAAATATCCATGTTAAAAGCAATGCGCTTCTTTGAAGGTACATAATGTGTGCTACTTATGTCCCTACCAACAAGGCGCTATAATAAACGTTATGATGAAGACGTGGTGTGTGTGTGTATTCGCATCACGTCCACCAATATGACGCACACTCTCAACGATTACTTCAATTTCCTTTAATTCCGATAAAGGTAATCTTTACAGCATTATTGATAAGATCTAGATGGTTATGTAAATGTAAGAATAGTTCATTTAGTACTTTTATTACCAGTATTAGTTAATTTCTTATGTATTGTAGGTTCACAATCCTAATATGAAGCACATTTGGTTTGCGTTCTGTCTGAGTAACTACCAAGCTTAACCTTTTTCAGTCGTAACCATTGCCTATTGTTAGCCTTGCTAACCTCTGAAAATAATGGCGCTGAGTTACGTGACTGCACTGTTAAATAAAAAAAAGTTTATTATAATCTCGCTACGAATGAGTCAACAACTGATCTTATCGCCGGTTCTCTATTCGCCGAGTTTCATTTACCTAGAAAGCCTCTCAATTCGCGATAAAATCTCGCAGCAATGTTAATGGATGACTTGTGCTTGTAGTATGTACCGAGAATTATGCGTGATTCGTCCTAAAAATGGCACGCGAACCGAGTGTGCACAGCAACCCCGACCTGTCTGATTTATTGTTCGACAAGCTGTCGGACCAAACGAGAAACCTGCTCCGCGCTCTCCTCTTTTAAGGCAACATGACATAAACACGAAAGTGGGCGGCCGTAATGTTTTTGCTGCAATTATACGTATTCATTGGTACAAGACGTGATTTAAATCGTTGATGTACCTTTATGGTAGTGGGTTGGATCAATCAATAACGTCGACCTCGTAAATATGTTAATGTCGAGGCGACGCCTCGGGAGCCGTCGTTTGTTGCGAACCCCGTCGCCAGGGCGACCGTGACTCATCCTACGCACACAGACGTGCCTTGTGCTAATAGATTATTGTTACTGTATACTTACTATAACTTTCTGTTCATTTAGCTCCTTAAGTTGGTTGTTTCATTTAATTAATGTGTTGCTGCTATGATTGTTTCAGTTCTGGGAGATCATCTCGGACGAGCACGGCATCGACCCCACCGGCGCCTACCATGGCGACTCCGACCTGCAGCTGGAGCGCATCAACGTATACTACAATGAGGCCTCCGGCGGCAAGTACGTGCCCCGCGCCATCCTGGTCGACCTCGAGCCCGGTACCATGGACTCAGTGCGCTCGGGACCCTTCGGACAGATCTTCCGACCGGACAACTTCGTGTTCGGACAGTCCGGCGCCGGCAACAACTGGGCCAAGGGACACTACACCGAGGGCGCTGAGCTAGTCGATTCAGTATTAGACGTCGTACGCAAGGAAGCAGAGTCATGTGATTGCCTCCAAGGATTCCAACTCACACACTCGCTCGGCGGCGGCACTGGTTCCGGTATGGGCACACTTCTTATCTCCAAAATCAGAGAGGAATATCCCGACAGAATTATGAACACATACTCAGTTGTACCTTCGCCCAAAGTGTCAGACACAGTAGTAGAACCTTACAACGCCACACTATCAGTCCACCAGTTAGTAGAAAACACAGACGAGACCTACTGTATCGACAACGAGGCCCTATACGACATCTGCTTCCGCACGCTCAAACTGTCCACACCCACGTACGGCGACCTCAACCACCTGGTGTCGCTCACCATGTCCGGCGTGACGACGTGTCTGCGGTTCCCTGGTCAACTGAATGCGGATCTCCGCAAGTTGGCAGTCAACATGGTGCCGTTCCCGCGTCTTCACTTCTTCATGCCCGGATTCGCTCCCCTGACATCTCGCGGCAGCCAGCAATACCGCGCCTCACCGTACCCGAACTCACGCAACAGATGTTCGACGCCAAGAACATGATGGCGGCGTGCGACCCACGCCACGGCCGCTACCTCACCGTGGCCGCCATCTTCCGTGGCCGCATGTCCATGAAGGAGGTGGACGAGCAGATGCTCAACATCCAGAACAAGAACTCGTCATACTTCGTCGAATGGATCCCCAACAACGTGAAGACCGCCGTGTGCGACATCCCGCCCCGCGGTCTCAAGATGGCCGCCACCTTCATCGGCAACTCGACCGCCATCCAGGAGCTGTTCAAACGCATCTCAGAGCAGTTCACCGCTATGTTCAGGCGCAAGGCTTTCTTGCATTGGTACACTGGCGAGGGTATGGACGAGATGGAGTTCACCGAGGCGGAGAGCAACATGAACGACTGGTGTCCGAGTACCAGCAGTACCAGGAGGCCACCGCCGACGAGGACGCGGAGTTCGATGAGGAACAGGAGCAGGAGATCGAAGACAACTAAGCACTCACACCCCTTGTCCCCCCAACACCCTAATACCCCTGCTCCCCGATCCGAGCGTCCGGCGCGTCGCACGGGACGTCTTTTGATTTGCATTAGTATTTCCGTGTAATTGTACCGTCGTTGACTTAATTTTTGTTACGTAGGACGTTCCTACATGTTGGTTACGTCGCGTCTACATTCCCGTGTGTGTGTTTTCCTTGATCGAAGGGCGACTCTCGGATGTTTATGGCTGTAAACAGGTTCCCCCAGCGACGTGGGCCCTTCGCCTGACTACCAACACAGTGCTGTCGACACACTGATGACACAAAGGAAAAGATCTTTTTTTTGATAAGGCTGAACTATTTTTTAATGCCTAAGTTTTAATTTTAATACTTTGTTTGATACTGTTCAGATATTGTGTTATTCATTGGCTTTTTACTAAGAAGCTAGTACAACATTTCGAAATCGATCAAAGGTTTTTAATTATTATTATATTCCAGTGAGTATGTAATAAACTACAATGATTTTATTTGAATTGTTTTATTTATTCAAGCCAATTACCCTCAGTGATTAAAATGTAGGAACCTATTTTTAATATAGGCAGATATTAGTCACACATTGTATAGACAGGAAACCAAAATCACACCTTTCTTACGCCCAAATTTTAATGATATCTTCAATTGACTGATTAGTTACTATCCTTGGACTTTGAAAAAGGTGATTGATCATGAACATAACAACTAATAAATAACAACTGTTCTAGATCATCGTAGACATGTACACTACTTAGTTAATTGATCTTCAGGGAAATATTAATCCCAATAAAATTAATTAGGATCTCATTACCTAGGTACGTTATGAAAGTTTAGGTGAATTTACAAACCACTATTCAACATGACTGAATCGAGTTCTGCATAACTATAATACTACAATTAGCATTTGCATTGTGACCGGACGTCGGTCGTTTCCTCATCAAGGGGATAACGGTGCAGTAGTCCATTAGCCGGTACCTACACATTGTCAATTGTTATCATTGGGTACCAAGGTACCTACCTATTATAGGTACAAAATACATCTACCCTAGTCTAATTAGTTTCAAAACAGGAAAATAGGTATATGTGGTAAAGCAACTAAGCATTTATAAATAGGCATGTAATTCTGTTATTATTTTGTTTATAAAGTTTATTATTATTATTAATTGAGTTTGGGACTTAAATACTCATAAAATGCCATCATGTTGTTATGAGAAGGTAATGAAAACTTAAATAAAATAAATACGAACTATTAGGTACTAATTTATATAAAACGAGATAATAAATGAAGAAAACGGGCAGGAGTAGGTAGTACCTACCTAATGATAGGTAGGTACCTAATGTTGAACTCGATATCATGATTGGTAGGTTAAGATACTTGCGAACTGGAACGAACAGGGACTGTTAAGAAAAAATCATTTTGTGGCTTTAATTCTATATTTTTAAATATTACAAACATTGTTCTTACATTATAATTACGCATGTTAATAAGTAGAAAAACGTCTTTAAAGATACTTATTGTTACATTATATAAATAGAGATTCATTAATTATTTAGGCAAATACTTGGTACCTGTTTACTTACTATTCTAATGTATTAATTACTATGTAAAGACATAGGTTCCTACATAATTATCATCATTTTAGTCGGCAAAATATTCCTGGATGGTGATGGTTGGATTCAGGTATTATAAGCTGGTATTGAAACCAGTGGAACCTAACTATATCTTAACTTTCTAAATCAAAATATCAAAGTGACATAATCTCTAAGTTATCCTTCATGAAATCCAAGTTGCTAAACTGGCATTCCTTAATATGTTCTAAAATAATATCAACAGTTTCGTCACTAATCTTGCCGGCTTCATTCAAGATTCTCAGCAAACCAGTCAAACTGAAAATTGATTTTACTTCAATACCGTTCTGTTTCAACACACTAACGCCACCTTGGTCGCGGTCGAGAACTACTACGGCGTGCGTGACTTCCAAGCCTTCGGAACGTAAAGTGCTAACAGTTTCCATGAGGCTGCCACCAGATGTCACTACGTCCTCGACGACAAGACATTTCTGGTTTTTCTCGAAGATTCCTTCTAGGATTCGTTTCGTAGCGTACATTTTGGTTTCTTTCCTTTTCATGATCATTGGAGTGTTTGTGTTGATGGACATGACGGCGGCGAGTGGTAGCGCTGCGTACGGGACGCCACATAACAGCTCATGATTGATGTCTTTCGCGAGCTTCTCCAAATGTTGAGCCACCGAAAGCTGTAACATAAAACTTCTAATCAATCTTCAGTATTTAAACAGAATACACTTATTAATTAATTCATGTCGTGTCGGCTGATTTAAGGACGTCGTGATGCCAAATTGGCGCTCAATTTGGTGTTGGCTATACCTAATTTTCTTACATAACATAACATCACGCCTTTTATCCTCGATGGGGAAGGCAGAGGTGCACTTTATACAACTGTACAATGTGACACCCACTTTTCACTATTTATGTTATGTCCCATGTAATAGGGGGTGAGCCTATTGCCATATACCGGGCACAGTTCCAGACTCCGTGCTACTACTGAGAATTTTTTAAAAAGCCCAGTAATACTTTGCCCGACCCGGGAATCGAACCCGATATCCCTTGCCCGGCAGTCGCAATTGCGACCACTCGGCCAACGAGGCAGTCTAATTTCTTATTCCTATTATATTCTTTGGAGAACATTTAATTTAATTAATATATCTTCAGTTTGCAAATCTCCTTTTGTATATTTACATGAGCTAGTTGACATATTGATTCGCAACGATTTAATTACGACTTGCAAACAGGTTAATGTTTAACTCGTACCTACTAACTAACTAAGCTACTTATGTTACCTCGCAAGTTTAATTATTATTTATTTTATTTCCTGTTCATTAATAACTACATTTTTATATTACAATTTGCTAAGCCTGTAAAATTCTCAATGTGGTATTCCCTGTTACAAGGGACTGTCTATAGACCTACTAAAATACTTTTTTTTAGGGAGGGGAGAAATCATCGAATTACTGCTCCCGGGTGAGGCGGGAGGGAGTGTCAGACTCTTACTGACTAAAAACCACCCCGTTCCTTCTCCTGCACGTCGAGCCGGAGCCCCGATTACCCGTTAGGTTCTCCGCGACACCTACTAAAATACTAGATATGAGTCCCACATATTGGCCTGATTGGTTCTATTGTATTTTATTTTTATTTAATAAAGTAGCTAGCTATCTATGCCCAAACACACTCTTATTGCAAACGCTTACTTATGTTTAGCTATCCATAGGCTACACGATGGGGTTTTTTAGCTATCGCTATCACTAATATATGGCTTTTTAGAGAGCGAAATTATGTCTTCTCCCGCTCCACTATGAAGTGACAGAGAGTGTCAGACTCTTACGCACTAAAAACCACCCCGGTTCTAATCCTGTTTCAACCAGGGTTGTCCAGGCATCAATAGTATGGCTGTTGTCAAGAAGCTACAAATCCTTACTATATAATATAATATAATATAATATAATATAATATAATATAATATAATATAATATAATAATAATATAATGCCCCCCATAAATCTATCTTCACGTCCGGCTTGACCACCTAAGCCACGTGGGGGGCGGACACTGATAACTGTTACTACAGTTAAATCACTACCAGTGACTAACGAAGCTCTAGTGCACCTTCAAGATGGAGAGAGAAATAAGGAATTCTAGTATAGGGCCGCTTCCCGGGGGCGATCGCCGGGGCACGTCTGGAGCTGACGCTGGACGTCTCAGCATGCGAACCGTCAGTGGCTCTACGCTGAACAGGCGGGCTAGAGTCGGGGAACCTGAAAACGCTACTGCCGAACACAACCGTCACGCCGAGGATGCTTTGCAATGCGGGTCTTTGACCCAAAGCGTTGCCGGTACCTCCGCCCTTCAGACCACGACAAGTTTAGAAGATAATTCAAGAATAAGAAAGTGGTCAATAGAAGAACAAAGAGAACTCATGTTTTGTTATTTTAAATCGAAAGCAGAAGGACCAGGATATCTAAAACGTCTTTACAATACATTTAAACAAAGGAATCCAAACAATCTTAAAGCTCATAAACTAGACGGTAATAAACTTTCTAATCAAGCCCGAATAATCATTAATGGTAAAACCATATCTAAGGAAGAATTAGTCTTAATTAAAAACAGAGCAGAACAAGCAGTGGATACAGTTAGCTCCATTTCCGGACACTCAACAACACCAACGCCCAATAATTCTAGATCACAAACACCGATATCAACCACACAATCACTAACACCTAACACAAACCCACACACACTAGATCAACTGAGCAATATGCGAGAAAATGAAGAGATACATGAAGACAGTAGAAGAAAGTGGACTATGGAAGAACAGCATGAACTAATGTTTTGTTATTTCAAAGCTAAATCAGGTGGCACGGGCTACATTAAAAGATTCTATGATTTGTTCCGGTCTCGAAACCCTGATAACCCAAAAATACATAGATTCGACGGAAATAAACTTTCAAACCAAGCTCGTACAATACTCAATCGTAAACTTATATCGGACGAAGTTTTAGCCCAAATTAAACTCAAAGCACAGAACTTAAGTATAGACACCGTGAATGATTCCCCTGTAATTGAAATAAATTACCAACCAGACCCGATTACAATTACACCATATAAAGAAACAAACACGGAAAATCAAGATAGTACTGAAAATGTAGATATTAATGAAAACCAGCATCCCGTAATAGAAGAGTTTTTACAAATATTAGCTGAAGTTAGAGCCACCGACATTAAAGATAGAAAGTTTTTGCCAAAACCAAAATTTACAAAGTATTTTATAGCAAACATGCAAGTAATAAATAAATACCTCCCAAATGTTTTAGAATTTGATAATTCGTTACGTCATTTAAACGATGTTATATACGCAGTAGCTACAACTTTGATAAAAATCAATAACCAGACTCCATATACATTAAACAATAAACCAAAACCTAAAACAGACCCACCTTGGAAATTGAGGATTAAAAATAAAATAGAAGACTTTAGGAAAGAACTAGGTAGGTTAACAGAAATTAAAAGTGGAATAAATAGTAAGAAGTTAAATAAAATTAAAAATAAACTATTCGATAAATACAATATTTTCAGTGACAACGATCGTGATAATACCATGGAAAAAATAAAACAAAAAATTAAAGCACTATCTGCTCGGCTAAAGAGATACGATGATATAGATAAAAGAAAGACGCAAAATATGATGTTTCAAGAAAACCAACATAAATTCTACAAATCACTTACGGAAAATACTAATACTGCAAACTGTTTACCAACGAAAGAAAACATACAAAACTTTTGGACATCAATATTATCGGAACCCATTAGTTACAATAAAAAAGCCGACTGGATTACAGAAATAGAAGCAACAATGAACAATATTGAAAATACAAACTTAGATGAAATAAGCTTAGATAAATTACGGATTGCATTGAGGAAGGTACACAATTGGAAAACACCAGGTATTGATAAAATTCAAAATTATTATTTAAAGTATTTAACTAGCACTCATGGATACATAGCAGACTTATTCACGCGAATTTTAAATAAAACAGAGACAATAGAAGACTGGTTTACAACAGGACAAGTTATACTCATACCTAAGAATAGCGAAACCCAAGACCCGAAAAACTGGAGGCCAATAGCGTGTCTTCCAACAATGTACAAACTACTAACGTCGGTAATAGCCGATGAGTTGTACACCCACTGTGATAATAATAACATATTAGCACCTGAACAGAGGGGTTGTAGGCGGCGTGCTAGGGGCTGTAAAGATCATCTCATGATGAACAAAGCCATACTCGAAGACGCACATCAGTCTCAGAAGAACTTAAGTATGGGGTGGGTGGATTATCGAAAGGCCTTTGATAGTGTTTCGCATGAATGGTTGCTGAGAGTTCTAGACCTTTACAAATGTCCAAACTCTATCAAGGGTTTTCTGGAGACAACCATGCCTACATGGAAAGTCGTCATGACAGCCCGTGGTTCAAATGAATCCGTTACTACTGACCCGATCTACATCAAAAGGGGTATATTTCAGGGAGATTCATTGTCGCCACTTCTCTTCTGTTTAGCAATTAATCCCCTCTCACAAATACTAAATAAATACAAAGAAAAAGGATACAAAGTTAAAGATACACCGATAAATCATTTATTATATATGGATGATTTAAAGCTTTATTCGAATACAAAAAACAACCTATCAATCTTAATAGACAGCACTGAGATTTTCACACATGATATTGGAATGAGTTTTGGGCTAGACAAATGTAATGTGTTGCATATGAAGGCGGGCAAGCGAGTAGAACATCAAGGTGTTGGGCACATATTACTGAGTGGTGAGGAATTCGAAAATCTGAAAAGTGATCAAAGTTACAAATATTTAGGTATACACGAATCGGGCAAAATAGAACATAGTATAGTTAGGCAGGGACTACAAAAAGAATACTTCAGAAGAGTTAAACGCATAGCAAATTCTCATTTAAATTCCAGAAATTTGATTAAAGCCATTAATAGTTTTGCAGTACCCGTTTTGTTATATTCATTTGGAGTAGTTAATTACAAATATTCCGACTTAAAAAATATAGATGTAAAAACCAGGAAAATATTAAATATGAACAAAGCACATCAACAAAAAGCTGATTTAGATAGACTATATTTACCAATAGAAACAGGTGGCAGAGGTCTGACTAATATCGAAATGTTATACAAAACACAAATAATTAAATATCAACAATATTTAGAATGTGAAACAGATTACATTATAAAAACAATAGCTGTACACGATAAAAACAGAGATAAATATTCGATAGATAAGGAAGCGAAAGAAAATAGAATAGAACTTAAAATAAACAATAATACAACATGCACAGATACCGAAATAAAATCTGCTAAACTAAAATACATAATAGGAAAATGGAAAGCTAAACCTCTACATGGACAGTTTTATAGATCAGTAATAGATAAAGAAAATATAGATACGAAATACTCGTTTAGATGGCTCAAAAAGCAGGCAATTTCTCCCTCACTAGAAGCATCTATATTCTCAATACAGGATCAAGCCATTATCACCAGGCAACACGAAAGAGATGTGCTCAAGAGAGCGGGACGGTAAATGCCGGCTATGTGGCGTCAAAGACGAGACCGTGCAACATATTGTGGCGGGATGCGAGCAGTTAGCTGGAACCTACTACACTAAGAGACACAACAAC